CCGCTAGGGAACAGGCGGGGTTGGATGGGGCAGGAGTCCTGGGGGGCCGTCATGGGCGAGAAGCCGGGGGGGTCGGATAGGGGGCTGGGGCCGGTCCATGCCTGGCTGTTTGGGGAGGCACAGCCTCCCCTAATCGGCCCTCTGTACAATTTCTGAAACCCGGTGCGGCCCTCAGGACAAAAAGTTTGCCCGCCCCTGGTTTAGGAGTACAGTTATGTGCTGTTGGTCTAATGGGAACTTTCTACACCCTGGTCTTTAGAGACAGCCTATTTTATTGCCATAGGTTGTGATGGTATCTGGCAGCCCATGCTCCTTACTTCTGTTCATAGTGCTGGCAGAAGCTGCTTCTTGAAGAGGATTCATGTTTCCCAAATCAGCTCTTGCTTCTCATTCATAACTGAGTTTATCTCACGGATAGAGTATCGCAGTCATGAAAACAGCTCTTTCTTTCAATTAGATAGGGAGACCATTCCCTGCTTCTAGCAGCTGCTAATTGAAGTTCTATTCATGGTAACTTAGGGTAGGTCTACACTTACCCGGTAGTTCGGCGGCAAGCAAATCGAACTTCTGGGTTCGACTTATCGCGTCTTGTCTGGACACGATAAGTCGAACCCGGAAGTGCTCGCTGTCGACTGCGGTACTCCAGCTCGACGAGAGGAGTACGCAAAGTCGATGGGGGAGCCTGCCTGCCGCGTCTGGACGGAGGTAAGTTCGAACTAAGGTACTTCGAACTTCAGCTACGTTATTCACGTAGCTGAAGTTGTGTACCTTAGTTCGAATTGGGGGGTTAGTGTAGACCTGCCCTAAGTCTAAGAACTCCATTCCTCAGAGAGCTAACCACTCATGGCCAGTTCATCTGGTTTTTTTGATGGGGAATCCAGTAGAGTAATGCTTTAGAAACTCTCTGCTGCCACACTATCTTTCAGCACCTTCCTCTAACACTGGATTAGAAGCCCTGCATATACCTCAATTGAGATTATAAACTCCAACAGCAACATGGATCCATTTCACTGAGCAATTCTTAAACACTTTCAAGACACAAAAAAAGACTCCCAGGCACAATTTTAATATTGAGAAAATAGAAGTAACTTAAAGGGGGGGAAAAACCTTTATACAACATAGTAGATCTAAAATCAAAATATTAGAAAACCAGGGCATTTTCTAAATTAAGGTTCATTTTGGGGGACAGGAAAGTTTCATAGTATGTAAATTGATGTTTAAGGTACTCTTAACAATAACTTTAGCTGGATAAACTGCCATACAGGTAACAAATTTAGCAAAAGTGGGAAGGTTAATCAGAGATTGTGTACCAGCTAACGTCGTTGGTAACTATCTGGCATGTAAATATTGTCGAAATCAAGTTGGTGTATATGGTGATATGTTAAAGTTGCTTAGGAGTTAATGACTATAATCGTCAAAGAAGAAAACTTGTTGAAACTTCCTGCCCCGACACATCTTAGCATCTTGACCTTGTAGTAGTCATATACAGTATGTATCACACAAACCTATACAGACTTCATCATAGATTCCAAGTAATGGTGGTTCATAACTGATTGTTTTTTGTTTGCTGAACTTAATTTCCTGGCTTTTTAATATTTGGGTTTTTAAAACATTCTTCTAAGATGTTTTCCTTTCTATAAATAGAAAATTTTCAACCACAACTCCAACTTTATTTTGGAATGGGTTCCCTTTTTTTTTTTTTTTTTAAATTTTTATTTTCAGAAGTGCTCTGCATCTGCAACTTACTTTGAAGTCAGTGGGAGTGTTAGAACATTTGAAAATCAGGCCAAAACTTTATTTTTTGGAAGTGAATCTTTCTGGTATAAGACCAGTGATGACTGCAGGGTTCTCTGCGATACTTTGGTTTTTGACATACAGCAGTGCCTGTTGCTTTCAATATTTTAATTGTATATAAATTAGAAGAATTCAGTTCTTAACTTCTTCACTCTTAGACTATTGCATGTTTCAGAATAGGCTTTAATTCTTGAAATATTTTGGTGATGAGTCTGCATTTTCAATCGATATATTCCCTTAATGACAAAATGACCATGAAAAGCTATGTAAACTTTCAGTACAGTAACTCCTCAGTTAATGTTATCCCAGTTAACATTGTTACATCGCTGGTCTATTAGAGAACATACTCATTTAAAGTTGCGCAGTGTTTGTTTATAACGTTGTTTGGCCGTGGGGGCTTGGAACCAGGGTGAGCCAGCAGCCCCCCCCCTATCCGCTTCCTTCCTCTCCCCCGCCCCCCCGGGGGGGGGGGGGGGGGGGAAGCCCCCGCGCCCCCCCCCCCCCCCCCTTTCCCCCCCCCCCCCCCCCGGCTCCCCAGTGCCTCCTGAATGCTGCAAAACAGCTGATTGCTGCAGCTGGGAAGCGCATAGCTTCCCCCTTCCCTCCTGGCACCTCCCACCCACAGCAACCAGCTGTTTTGCAGCATTCAGGAGGCTGAGGGGGGGGGAAGTGGGAGGAGCTAGGACGTGGTGTGCTCGAAGGGAGGGGTGGACCAGGGGTGTGAAGAGGCTGGGTGGGGCCTCGGGGGAAGGGGTGGACTGGGGGTAGGCCTGGGGCAGAGCCGGGGGTTGAGGCCGCCCCCCCATCCCACCCCCGGCACTTTGGAAAGAACAGCAAGAGGAGCAGCTGGACAATCCACCCTCTGACTCCACCACCTCTGACTCCACCACCTCAACCAAGCTGCTTCTTTGAGTGCTGTCCCTGTGGGTGCTCCACTTCACGTGACGGTGTGTCCTGGTGCCGTTGATCGGAGGCTTTTCCATAGCAGTGCTCGGTAGGACTGCACGTGCGCTCCTGTCTGTCCCGTTGAGCGCGCGTGCACGGCCTGCCCCCTTCAGTTCTTTCTCAACTGTCCTTGACTGAAGACGGAGCTCTCCGCAGTGCGACAGCCCTTTCTCCCTAGAGTTTAAAAAAAAGAATAGAAATTAGTAGTTTTAAAAAGTATTCTTTACTGTAGTTTTCATAGTTAACTTGTGTCAAAGTTAGATTCAGGACTCACAATTTGTTAGATCACTCTGTTTATTAGCACAGCACTCTGCTAATACATTCAGATAATGTGAGCACCATGCAAGACCCACACTACCTTATTTTATACAGATAAAAAGGGTGCGAACTTAAGAGGACAAAAAGAACAGGAGTACTTGTGGCACCTTAGAGACTAACAAATTTATTAGAGCATAAGCTTTCGTGGGCTACAGCCCACTTCTTCGGATGCAAGAGGACAAAGAAAGCAGAACTGACAAGTTTACCTGAGGCTAGACATACATATTCATTTTTCTTACTAATTTTTACAGATCTCCGGCTAATGTTCCACCATTAGCTTAAGTGGACTCATTGTTTATGCCTTTTCCTGACACCTGTATTTCAACATTCCTTATTTCTGCTTAAAGGTACATACAGCATTTCTTTAGTTCATTCTATTTTTACAATATAATTCATTCTACTTTCACACTTGTTTTTAAAAAAAAAAAAATTTTA